GGCTCAATCTCAATGGGTTAACTTTGAGAAGTTGTTTTGATTCTCATAAGAAAGCTGATTCAAAGGCTCGAGCTTTAGCTCATAATCGAAGGGTTCTCCGTGGATTGGGATCTGGGTCGAGGGAAGAACTCGTCAGCGGCGGAACCACCGATTTAGCTGATGGTCGTGGTGCGTATATGCGTAGTAACACGACGAGGTTTCAAGGGAATGATAAGATAGTTGTAGCTGTTGACATTGATGAAGGTATTGTTGTTTCCCTTTGTGTTCTTTTAGTGATGTTGCAAAAATGTCTTTGAGAGAAAGAAATCGTTTTTAAATGTTATGTTAGACTTAGTAAACTGTTTAATGGGTCTAAGTATTGTCTTGGTTTTGATGGCTGATGTATATATGTATGCCTTAAACGTGATTTGTGTGCAGAAATCTCTAATCTTTTACTTTTCTTAGACAGAGCCATTAAATTTAAGCTTTGGTTTATCTTATGGTCTTTTTTTGTAAGCAGTTCTTGGAAACTTTGTCTCGGCCCTTAACAGGTTCATTGCGGACCGCTATTTTTCGAACCATTCAGTCTCAGAATACCATGTCTACGAGTTCTTCAAGGTATGAAGTCATAGTTTCTTCTTGAGCTTACCCCGAGAAACAAGTAGTCCATCTTCTTGCTCAACATTGAGGAACACCATCTTGCCTTTAGCTTCTGGTCGTTTTGTTTCCTATTTTGTGACTTCATATGCTTGGGTCTAATGAAGGAAATATTGAGTTAGGTTGGAATTAACGCTTGGAGAAGTTTGTATACGACGTTGACTACTTTTAATTGATATATTTGGCTTATGATAAATAAAGGAGTCCTCTGCTTCACTTATATAGCACATTACCCTACATGGCACTTGTTAATCTTGTATGTGAAAGAGTTATGAAATCCCACTCGCTTTCAGAAATTTGAGTTGGTGAAGTAGAGGATTTTGTAGAGGTCTGCTACACTGATGTTTTGTTAAGTTATCACCAAAGCATATAAAACTCAGGAGTCCCTTTTGCAATCTGGGTTTTGCATTGCCATTTAGCATATAGATAAATCATTCCTGGTTTCTCATCACAGATTTCTTGTTTTTGATTTCCCTTAAACTTTTGTCTTATACTTTGTTGCAGATATGGAACTGCTCTCGCAACGAAGGTAATTTCTTTGGCTTACTTACAGTTATGGATTAATAATGGGACCGGCTGATAATTGCACTCATAATTTGTTTTTGTGTGTGTTGGCAATTTGATAGATTAGGACCTAATTATGTGCTATGTCCAAACTTTCTTGTTATGCAGCTGACCTACGTGTTCATGAATTCTTCAAGACATCATATTTCAAGAAAGGGATCCATCCTCTTCCAGGTGCCCATCAGACTCTTCACAAGCTATCAAGATATTGCGACATGTCAGTTGTGACGTAAGTGGCATGCGGTGTGATCTTCCTCTCTGTTGAACATTTGAAGTTACCTGTTAATTCTTAAAATCAGTATCTGGATAGGTCCCGCCAGAATGCGATAAAGGATCACACACTTGAGTGGATCAACATACATTTCCCGGGATTGTTTAACCAGATTCATTTCGGGAACCATTTTGCTCTTCATGGAGAGTCTAAACCCAAGTCTGAAATCTGCAGGTGCATAACAAAATCAACTCATGATTCTGATTGGCAATATTCTACTTGGAAACTAAAAAAATGCTACTTTCGTATGATTTGATGGGCTAATCCAAAGAATTGGAACTGCAGATCATTTGGAGCAGAGATATTGATTGATGATAACCCGAGATACGCCGAGGAATGCGCTAACATTGGAATGAAGGTTCTTCTCTTTGACTATGAGAATTCATACCCTTGGTCCAAATCAGAGTCTGTGGATAGGCATCCTTTAGTGACTAGAGTTCATAACTGGGAAGAAGTGGAGCAGCAGATTCTCTCATTGGTAGTATCAAAGTGTTGAAACAGTTTCTGCAAATTAAAAATGTTATTTTGCCGGTGCAAAATTATAGTGTTCATGTTTAGTTTAAATGATACTGTAATGCTTGCTGGGGAGGAATAAGTAGCAGAAAGATTAGCTCGAATCGCCCCTTTTTTTAGCATAATCTCTAATTTTAATGTTTTTGTCTTAAACATATTAGTCTGTCTTCATTTTTCAGATACACTTTATTTGATGTAAATAAAATTTTGAATTTCCAGTTTTGATTTCGAACAAGTTTTCACAATAATTTTGTTTTTTTTGTTTTACTGTACTATATTTAGTATATATCTCTAGTGGATCGGATGAAACAGGAGAATGTCATTCAGCTCGTTCAGCTCATTTGGTTTGTGGGCTAAGCTCCACCTCTCGAGTTCGAGTAAAGGCACAAACAAAGAGGAAGAAGAAACAGGAGAATGTCAAAACAAGAAATGTATGAAATTGCAGAATGTTCAAATTATATTACTTGCTAATACCATTTTAAACAAAGTCGTATGAATATTATTACTAGGGAAGTGACCAAGAGAGAGATTAGTGGTTGCTTAAATAAGAAATAGAACACTTAAGTAACTCGTGAACATAAATCATGAAAAGAGAGATAAATCTCATTTATTAAGATAATGATTCTACTTAGAAGCATAAACAAAGAGGTGCTTATTTTGTTTATGCTTTTTTAACTATTAAAAACACATTTTCACTTATTTGCCTTCTCTCTGGCATGAAGATTGTCAAAATAAGCCTTGGTGTTGGACTCAAAAGCATCTCTAGAGATATTAGCTGAACCACCAGAACCGGGTGCAACCATGTTCCCTGGACCAGAACCAGCACCACTACTTGAACCGGTGCTCTGTGCCGCAGAGCCAGGCTTTGTGTTAACGTCTTTCTTGTCCATTTTCTTTGATACCTCGTGAAGATGTGAGTTTGATTAGTATGAGAGTGAAAATGAGAGTTCTGGTTTTGTAGTAAGAACAAATATGTTAGAGAAGTGGGGGAATTTATAGATGAGTTTTTCGTCAGAATAATTAGTCAAACTAACACTTCCCAAAATTATTATTAACCACCATTTTGGGTAGTACAAAATAGTATCGTAAATTTCACTGTCTTGGAAAGCTACTTGGAATAACGTTTTATAGTATATATGACTCTGTTTAAATAAAATATTTTCGTAAATTGAATGTACGTATTTACATCTATAAGACTATTTCATATACGTACTTACTACTTTTCACACTTACGCCATGATACAATACATTCATACGTGAGAGAGATATGTGGACACATGTATAGTTCTTTTCAAAGAAAATTGATTTTAGGATGTTGTTCCGGATGTCTCCTTTCTACGGCGGATCTGCTTTTAGGATGGCAGATCTCGTCGGAGACTTGAGTTTTCCCAGCGCGACGGCCGCTAAGAGGCCAATCCTACCTCTTCCGCTCCTTTTGCTTGAGTTCCTTAGGTAAATTCCTCTCTCGTCTCTTCGGCCCTTCATTATCACTGTTTTTG